ATACCATCCACAAGCAAATGGTCAAGCAGAGGTATCAAATCGTGAGATCAAGAGGATTCTCGAAAAAGTTGTGTCGTCTTCTAGAAAAGATTGGTAAAATAAGCTCAATGATGCATTGTGGACTTATCAGACAGCTTTCAAAGCCCCGATTGGTCTCGCACCTTTCAAAATGATCTATGGTAAAAACAGTCACTTACCGGTGGATTTGGAGCATAAGGCTATTTGGGCCTTAAAAGTTTTGAATTTTGATCCAACTATAAGCGGTGAAAAAAGAAAAGTACAATTGCATGAAATGGATGAATTGCACCTTCAAGCATATGAATCCAATAAACTATATAATTATAAAGTGAAAAGTTACCATGAAAATAAGATTGTGAACAAAGAATTTAAAGAAGGGCAAATGGTCTTACTGTTTAATTAGAGATTGAAATTGTTTCCGGATAAGTTGAAATCCAAATGGTCTGGTCCATTTCGGATTAAGGAGATCAAGCATTATGGAGCAATTGTTCTTGAAGAAACCTTGACAAATGAGATTTTGACTGTTAATGGTCAAAAGTTGAAAGTTTATGTTGGTGGCGATTTCAAGTGGAATGTAGCCACTGTGCCCTTTTGCAATCCTTGAGGTCGCATTGGACCGTCGAGCTAAAACAATGTTAAAAAAAGCACTTGTTGGGAGGCACCCTCAAGGTTACTTCAGAGGCTGCCTGAGCATAATTGAGATCCATGGCTAGGAGACCGTGCTTACTCCACCCACCCAGCTGAACTATGAGATAATTTGTGAGTTCTACGCGAATTCTATCCCGGTGGAGGGTCGAATTTATTATTTCATGACATATGTGCGGGGTAAGCATGTGTCTTTTTTACGGGATGCCATCAATGAATATTTGGGCAACCCGTTAGTGTTGGCTGATGGTGAACAATGTTCTTATTAAAATAGGGTAGCAAGGAAGAACTGGAACTTTGCTAATGTGAGTGATGCCTTGGTGCATCCTGGTAGGGGTTTCAAGCTGAATGCGACAGGTAGGCCGAAACATCTAAAGAGAGGTGATATGAAGACTACTGCACAAATCTTGATGACACTAGTTCTTCACAACATAAGGCCTAGGAGTCATACCTCCTCTATTCCTCTTGACATTACATGCATGCTTTATTATATCTTAGATGATAGACAGGTAGATGTAGCGAGGATCATCTCTGATGAGATCTGAGCTACTTCCGCTAGTGGACACCGCTTGGGTTCCAAGGTCCCTTCTATCTTAGTGTTTCCAGGATTGATTATGGGCCTTTTCACTCGAGAGGGTGTTCTGATACCTGACGTGGTTCACAAGACCATTAAAGGTGTCATGACTGGTACTTGGATTCAGAGCCACTGCATGCCTAAAGTTGATGTACAACAGCCACCACCACCAGAGCAGCCAATACCACCACCGCAGCATATGTCAGGAGTTCCTCCAGCTGGTCAGGATTATGATGAGCGCGTGACATGCATGTATACCTGGGACATGCACATGGTTCATCAAAGAGCTTTCAGTTTTCTACACTCATCTATGCGTGTGTTACATTTGCAAATTCATGAGCTGCATGTGGATCATTATTTCCCTTCTTCTGAGGAGTTTAGTGCTTTTGTGGATATGCCTTAGGACATAACTTTTCATTTTTCGAGGGAGCGGGTTCCTCCTTAACCTCCGCAGCATACACAGGTACCTTAGGCAGATGTGGGTCAGGACGGTGCATATTCTGATGATGATATAGTTGATAATGATGATGACAGTGGAGAGACATAGTGGGAGTTGAATTCTTCGAGTAGTACTGAGTAGTCTGATTTTGGGTTTTATCTGATATTTTGTTTCTATTATTATATTTTATGTTTGAATTGTTAAGACTTGGTTGTTTATGATTTCTTTGTCCTTTTGGATAGATTTTGTACCACCCTTTGTAGGATGAGGGTTATGAACTTATGTTGTTGCACCATGTTTTGGTTGCTGCAATTTTTATGATAAGTATGTTTTACTATGTTGAGTAGTATGTAATTGTTAGTTTAGTAAAAAAAAAATATTTTGTGTTGTTCCTAAGTTCAAAAACTTGAAGGAACCTTATGACTAATGTCAAGATTAATGAATCCACATGCAATAGAGTGATAATGATATGCTTGAGTAAAGGTACAATTGTAAGGTACATATTTATCTTTTTTAAAACTTAGCACGTATATGAAACTTGTGATTTGGTAAAAACATGTTGTCACGAATTCTTTTGAAATACTTTTTCAATTTTAAATCACTTAGAACATAGCCTTTATGAGGAAGTTTTCGTTGTATAATATATGCGAGATACTAACATCCTTGTTTAACTCGTTCTTATTAGGTTTAAATCATGCATGTGTGTTGATTTGTGTGAAAGGAAGAAAAGGATCAAGGCAATTTTTTGGGTGTATTTTGAGAAAAACCACTTGAACAAAAGAATGATCAATCTACCTTGTGAGTGAACGAGTATTTACCAGCCTCGTTGAGCCTTTCTATCAAGATCCGTGTGGATAATTGAATCGTGTAAATATTGTACATGAAAAATAATTGAATTTTGGAATGGGTCTTGATTTTTTGTTTGTAAAACCTTTGAACCTCAACCTTTAAGTATGGTTTCTTTTGTTATTCCTTGTCTTAGATGTGTGAGAGCATCCTTAACACCATATTTTATTTGTATTCAAAGTTGGGGAGAAAGTGGTAGGTTGAGGCATTGTGAAAAATAAAGTGGTTGTAATATTGAAAGAGCTTGAAAGAAAAAAAAAAGAAAATTGGGCATGAATTGCCAACAAATGAGCTTAAGGTTGTAATGATGCCTCAAAGAAAAAAAAACAAGAGGGTTAAGGTCTTAAATTGTGTATGAATGTGAGAATTGAATGCTCTCATAGAAATACACATTTTTGTTTCAAAGACTTCGATAAATGACCATTCCTTGTAGTCTAAGCCAAATTACAACCTTTGAAGTCCTTGTGATTCCTTCTTTTACACTCATTAATGCGTGTTGTTTGTTGAATGCATAATTCATTCCGGATGTTTGCAGGATTCTTTGGCGAGTGATAAAACCTCATAATGTTTTCATCCCTTGATGAATGTATGCCTAAGTGTGATTCATGTTGGAATTGTATTGCTTTAGAAGTTTTGATTTGTGTTTTGCACTTAACAATAGTTTCATCTCCATGATTCGTTTTTAGTGTGGTAAGTTTATCGTATTTGTACTTCTACTTTTTGAACCATAAAATTTTCATTGTTCTAACTTGCTGATTCTAATTTCTTGTGCGTTGTTTTGGGTTCGTTTACATTTGGTAAACTTTTGTTCGAGGGCAAACAAAATAATAAGTTGGGTAGAGTTGTTAAAGGGAAAATTGTGCATATTTTTGATAGTATTTTGTGGCCCTTTCCAATTGTTTCTTTGGTGTTTTAGTAGTAAATTCATATGTTTTAGTGTAAATACGCAAGTTTCTGATTTTGCATGTAAATATTATGAATTGTGATCATTTTGATGCTTTTTGATAGGTTTTCTTTCTTGCTTAATGCTTAGAACCTATGGATGATGGAAGAAGGCTTTGATGATCAATTTCGCGTCATTTTGACGGCAACTCGCGCTTAGCGCGTTTTTGATAAAGAGGCAGTAGCTAAGGGTCCTTGACCGCTCTTAGCACGTTCCAACCACACTTAGCATGCTTTCTGGAAATTTGCCGCCTTTGAGCTGATCGCTTAAGTGCGCTCTGATGGCGCTTAGCGCGCTTTCTGAAAATTTTCCGCCTTTGAGTTGATCACGTTAAGTGCGCTCTGATGGCGTTTAGCGCGGTGCCACTTACAGGCACATTGTGGAACTTGTATAAATAAGCACTTGAGTAGATATTTTGAAACACTTGATATTTTTCTGCACTTTTCAGATTATAAAGGAATTTTTTGGACTTGAAGCTTAGAAATTTCAAGAGAAGTAAAAATCAAAACTTTGGAGCATTAATCGTCGATCTTTCGACTTTGATGCTAGTAAAGTTTTCCTTTTTACTTGTTGATCAAGCTACCATGGTGATGGCTTGCTAAACACCTTTTGTGTCAAGATTAGAAGTAGTTAACCTTACTAGTATGTTTTTATTTTTATTTTTATCTTTTGTATGTGAACAAAGTTGATGATCAATATATGATGAAGATATTTGCTTTTAATGATATATGTATTGTTTGAATCACTCTACACATAGATTTTCCAAGTATTAATCTAAGTTCTTCATCTATTAACAAACAAACTCTAGACATAGATTTGAGAGTTAATATTTGCTTTGTATCTATCTTTATGTTTATTATTTTGATTGTTGTTTCGAGAAATTATCTAGCGATTAAAACAATAATATCCACAAAGCCGCTTTAAAAATAAACGGAATCGAGAGGATACATGGTTGTATTGATCTAAACTAAGTTCACATGCTTGATTATTCAGATATGTATGAAGCGGGTTAACGAAATCTAATCTTAACATATTTTTGCTTAAAACAAACATCTTTTTATAATTTACTCTTTGCTACCGAAATAAGTGAAAACATATGTTACCAAACCAAAACTCTTAGAAAACTCTTTTCTTGAAACTCACACAGACACGCACCGTCTATTTTATTGATCAAATGTATGAAATTTTAAAATTTTAAAAGAAGAATAATTCAGAGATTAAAGGTATAGCTTATTAAAAAAAACACAAACACTTTTTTCTTCCTGTCGTGTAAAAGTAAAACACTTCTAACTTTTAAGTTTGGTGTTGAAATGCTACGCTAGTTGACTATATAACCATTTATCACTCAAACTGGGTCAAACTGCGATACATACATGAAAATGTCACTTGTGATGTGACTCAACTGAGAAAAGAAGAGAATTCATAACTATATAAACAGTGTGCTACAGTTGCCACAGGTTGCTATAAATACACATCTTCTCAGCATAATATGAATATCATAAACCTGCATGCAAACCAAAACCAAAGAACCAACCATGGCTTTGTTTTCTCATTCACTTCTTCATATTTTTGCCTTACTTATGACCCTTATTATTATGCCCTTTGATTTCAACAACCTTTTGGTTGGTGTATCATCCACCACTCTTAGCATCACCACAGACAACCTTTTGGTTGGTGTATCATCCACCACTCTTAGCATCACCACAGACAAAGAAGCCTTAATCTCATTAAAGTCTCAATTGAGTATTAACAATGACACTTCTAGTTCTAGTTCCCACCCATTCTCTTCTTGGAGCCATAACTCATCTCCTTGCAATTGGACTGGTGTGTTGTGCGACAAGCATAACCAAAGAGTGACTGCCTTAGATCTTTCAGGTTTCGGACTCTCAGGTAACCTGAGCCCTTATATAGGTAACATGTCCTCTCTTCAATCCCTACAATTGCAGGATAACCAGCTCACGGGATTCATTCCTAACCAAATCACCAATCTATATAACTTGAGAGTTCTAAACATGAGCTCTAACAGATTCGAAGGAATGCTTCTTTCGAATCTTACATACCTAACCGAGCTCAATACTCTTGATTTGTCCTCAAACAAGATTGTAAGCAGAATTCCTGAAGACATCAGCAGCTTGAAAAAGCTGCAGGTCTTGAAACTTGGAAGGAATAGCTTCTATGGTTCAATTCCAGCAACTCTAGGAAATATTTCATCTCTGAGAAATATAAGTTTTGGCACCAACTCGCTTAGTGGCTGGATTCCGAGTGACTTAGGTAGGCTACATAATTTGATTGAGCTTGATCTCACTCTTAACAATCTTACAGGAACTGTTCCACCTGTTGTATACAATTTGTCTTCCCTTGTTACCTTAGCCTTAGCTTCGAATTCCTTATGGGGTGATATTCCTTATGATGTTGGTGTTAAACTTCCAAAACTACTAGTGTTCAATTTTTGCTTCAATAGGTTCACAGGTAGAATTCCAGGGTCTTTACATAACCTCACCAATATTAGGATCATTCGCATGGCCTCTAACCATTTGGAAGGAACGGTTCCACCTGGTTTAGGAAACCTTCCATCTCTTCACATGTATAATATTGGCTATAACAGGATAGTCAACTCGGGAGTCGATGGTTTGGACTTCATCACTTCATTGACAAACAGCACTCACTTGAACTTTCTAGCTATTGATGGAAATATGCTAGAAGGTGTCATTCCTGAAACCATTGGCAATTTCTCCAAGGAACTCTCAAAATTATACATGGGAGAGAATCGTTTCAATGGAACTATACCCTCTTCCATCGGTCGTCTTAGTGGTTTGAGTTTGTTAAACTTGAGCTACAATTCAATTAGTGGAGAGATTCCAAAGGAGTTAGGCCAGTTAGAGGAGCTACAAGTGCTAGATCTGGCTAGAAATAATCTATCAGGGCCTATTCCAAATTCTCTTGGTAACCTTGTAAAGTTAAACAAGATTGATTTGTCAAGAAATCAACTTGTGAGTAGAATACCGAACAATTTTGGGAATTATCAAAGCCTTCTCTACATGGACTTATCTAGCAACAAACTCAATGGAAGCATACCTATGGAAATCCTCAATCTCCCAACTTTGAGCAATGTTTTAAACTTATCAAACAATTTGTTGAGTGGAGCAATACCTCAAGTTGGGAAATTAACTACCATTGCCACCATTGACTTTTCCAACAACCAATTGAATGGAAACATCCCCAGCTCATTCAGCAGTTGTTTGAGTTTGGAGAAATTGTTTTTGGCCAGGAATATGCTTTCAGGTTCCATTCCAAAAGCTCTTGAAAATGTGAAAGGCTTGGAAACTTTGGACTTGTCATCCAACCTACTCTCTGGATCCATTCCTATTGAACTTCAAAACCTGCGCGTCCTTAAGCTTTTAAACCTCTCTTTCAATGACTTAGAAGGAGTCATTCCCAGTGGTGGAGTTTTCCAAAATCTCTCTGATGTCCACTTAGAAGGCAATACGAAACTATGCTTGAACTTTGCATGTGCGCCTCGAGTCCATAGAAGAACACATGTCAGATTTTATATCATCATAGTCGTTGTGTTAATATCGGTTCTATGTCTCGCAACTGGCTTGATAATATACATGAAGTATACCAATGTGAAGGTAGCAGCAACATCCGAACAGCTAAAGCCACAGGTATTACTAAAATGTTAAATAAACGAACTATTTTTATACATACTATTCCATACAGAAAATTGAAGAAGAACAAACCTAACAAATTATTAACTAACATTATCTCTGATAACAGACACTAATGGTTTCTTACGACGAGCTTCGTTTGGCAACAGAGGGGTTCAGCCAAGAAAATTTAATAGGAACTGGGAGTTTTGGATCGGTGTATAAAGGCTATCTAAGTCAAGAAAACAGTACTGTTGCAGTGAAAGTGCTTGATACACAAAGAACAGGTTCTTTAAAGAGTTTCTTTGCAGAGTGTGAGGCTATGAAGAACTCAAGGCACAGAAATCTTGTTAAGCTAATTACATCGTGCTCTAGTGTTGATTTTCGAAACAACGATTTTCTGGCTTTGATCTATGAGTATTTGAGTAACGGGAGCTTGGAAGATTGGATTAAGGAGAGGAGAAAGCATGGAAATGGAAATTGTTTGAACCTTATGGAGAGACTAAATATAGCTATAGATGTTGCTTCGGCATTAGATTACTTGCACAATGACAGTGAAACTCCTGTCGTGCACTGTGATATAAAGCCGAGTAACATTCTCCTGAATGAAGATATGACTGCAAAGGTTGGAGACTTTGGTTTGGCTAGATTACTGATTCAAAGATCAAATGATCAATTTTCCATCAGTTCCACTCATGTCCTTCGAGGTTCAATCGGTTACATACCTCCAGGTTAGTATGCTAACAACTTTCTCTTTCATTGAATATTCGATATTCTTAATTCTATCATGCTTTGTTTAACTATAATTGATGAAGTACTTTTTCTCTCAATGTAGACTATGGATGGGGAGAGAAAGCGTCGGCAGCAGGAGATGTATATAGTTTTGGGATAGTGATACTAGAGCTCTTCTCCGGGAAAAGTCCACAAGATGATTGCTTCAGTGGAGGCCTGAGCATAGCAAAATGGGTGCAATCAGCATTCACAAACAAGACTGTTCAAGTCATTGACCCTAAGCTGCTATCCCTCATTTACGATGACGACTCTGCTAGAGACACCAATGTACAACATCAGTGTGTGGATGCAATCATGGGAGTTGGCATATCCTGCACTGCAGACAATCCAGATGATCGCATTGGCATTAGAGCTGCTGTTCGCCAACTAAAAGCTGCTAGAGACTGTCTTCTGAAAAAAATCTGATATCAAGAGTCCTACTGGTATTTAGAGTCCTACTGAAAGCTATTTGACAAATAAAGCAAAAGTTGTAATTTGAGGCCAGAGGTTGAAATATAGGAAAATAGTGTATAATAGACCAAATAAATACTCTTATTATGATATATGGTAAAAATTGATATGCTTAATACAATAAAGGTGGTTTCTGAGAATTTGAGTGCTCTGTGCAAATTTAGAAAAAAATGCTCATTTGGTACACATACAAGCTTTTCCACCCTTGCCGGTTGTGTAGCATTTTGGTGTATTTAACAAATTTGTAGTTATATCTTGCTAATTTGCTCTAACCATTCTAATTATCTCATAGCAAGATTTTAACAATGACAGACACTGGAATGTTGACTACATGACCTTGATTACCAAACAATCCAATCCTTCCAAAGCTTGCAATCGAGCTGTTGCTGGTTGCATTGAAGAACACAGATAAGATTTGTCTCTCCCCATTGGCAAGAGAGAACCGAGTTGGATATACTTTAACTGAAACTCCGTATGGAGAACTCCAACCAACATTGTAAGTTTCGTTTCCAGCAATGTTTTGTATTGTTCTTTGCACTAATCTAGATTGGTTTAACCTTGCTATTGTGATTGACGGCAAGTTTAGATCAGAGCCATAGACAGTAGAATTATAAATCAAACAACTCTGACCAGTGTAGTCTAGAACTGCAGAAGCTGTACCATTGATACCGCATAGAAAAGACATGTAATCATCATAACCTACAACGAAATACATGCCATATACACAATTCAAACTTATAGACATTATAAATATAATGAAGAGGTTTAGAAGTTCATTAAGTGGCTTACTTGAATCGAAAAGCAATCCAGGGTTTAATGCTGCAGTAGCGTTCACAAAACCGCTTCCCATGTCAAATGGAGTTGCTGGCGATTGGTTTAGGTCTGGAGAGGGATATGACCGCTGCGCCATGATTGGCTTCCCGCTGTTGTCTGACAGTGATGCTGTAGTAGAAAGTGCGGATGCAATGGCTGCAGGACTGAAATTGGGAAACTTTTGCTTGACTAGTGCAGCCAGACCAGCAACATGAGGTGCAGCCATGCTTGTGCCAGACAACATTGCGAAATTCTCACCTGTTATTAAAAAATATAGATCATCAGATATTCACATTTCGTTTTACGGACATGCATAAAGACTAATCCTTCGAGATACAAAGATCTTATAGATCATTATGTTATTAGCCTAAGTTCATGTGGATCGAGCCAGCGTGAATTTAAGCCAAAATAGATCGTGTTGCTAGTCTTTGTCTCTGCGTGAAAGTATGTTTATGTATTCACAAACCTAGAAATTCATCTGAATCAGTGGCAACAGAACTCCAAGCAGCCCATATAAAACTTCCTGGAGCTACCAGATTGGGTTTCAAAATGTCAGCTTCATGAGGAAAACTGTCCTCTGGATCTGGTCCTCTGGCGGAGTAATACATAACAGTTGGAGCAACACTATTATAGCTCGCCGTAAGTCCACCATTAATGCTAGCAACAGCACCAAGTTTAACAATTTTTTCTGAAGTACCATCTTTTTCCAGTGAAGAATTGTAGTATTCTAATAGTATCTGCTCAGTAAAAAACAATATATACATTATAAGAACATCAAAGATGATAAGCATATTTTGAAAAGGGAAAATGGACAACCCACCTTGGAATCATTTGCAAACGGAATTATTATGCCAGGAATTTTCATTGGAGTTGGGTTAAGCTGAAAGCCATTCACAGAAGGACTCATCGGAAAAACAACCCCGGAAGCACTAAGGTTTGTGGCTGTTTGTATGGCTTGGTTGATGCTGGAGAGACCAAGCACAAATCGCATTGAGTAGCTACACATTAAGAGGTTTCCTTGGACCAAATCTTTATTGAACTTACTTGAATCTTGACACTCGCCAACATACATATCATCCGCAACTGTTGTGCCATCGTTCAAAGCATGATGCGCGTGAATCAATTTGTACATTGTGTTCTCAGACGTGCCAGCTGGGAATGACATAAAACAAACAAATTTGCATACATTAACAATTGACTCATTTCATCATTCATCGAGGAACTTCAGCAATGCACGTACAGTGTTAGTCTAAAAAATAAAGTCATGTATAGCTAACCAAGATTAGAGCAACAGAAGTTTACGTGCAAGTCCAACTCCGAGTATAGTCACATTATTTCCAAGAGATAGCGAGTTGCTGTAAACTCGATCATGAGAGGTGGCACCAATAGTAAAGATCCATGGGCTAAAGGAGGACATGCTCATAGCTGAAGGTCCAGTATTTCCAGCAGCTTGCACAACAAAAATACCAGCCTTTATAGCTGACAACAATGCCATGTCTATTGGATTGAAGAAAGTTGCAATACCGGGAGGACGCCTATTTGGAGTGATTGACAAGCATATTATATCAACTCTATCTTGAGCTGCCTGTAAACAATCAAATTAGTCATAATATTAAGCCTTACATAAATGGCATAAACAGCACTCAGTACTTGTCTGTCTATATATGTACCTGATCAATAGCTGCAACAACATCTGCAGCAAATCCTCCGAATCCCTTGTATAGTGCCTTGTAAACAGCAATGCTGTGAAAGATTGAAAAGCAATGCATTCATAATCTAAAATAAAATAAACCATCATAATCATGGCACAATAACTTTTAACTAAAGTTAAAGAATAGTTACTGTGAACGAGGAGCCATCCCGCTAGCATTTCCAAAATTATACCCATCAACAACCACTGGAATTCCATGGTTTCCAGCTGCAATAGAAGCTGTGTTCCTGTATATTACAGATACATCAGAATGGACATTTTTGAGGGTCGATTGATTGATATCCCGGGGGACGCAAATAAAAGAATGAAGCAATTGCTAAAATACTCACGTGCCATGGCCATCACGGTCGAAGGGAGAAGCATAGTCCTCGGTTGGATCAAGCATTTCTCTGACTATAGCAGATGCTGCAAAATGACGGGCTCCAACAAGCTTCCTATTGCAAGAACCAGATGGAAAATCAGGAGTAATCTCACAGGTGCCAGAAAAACGAGGAGGAGGATGAAATGGAAGTTCAGATTTATCATCCAAGAAACTAGGGTGTGTAGGATCAATGCCAGTGTCAACAAATGCAATAGTGATTCCTTCTCCGGCAGTTTCAACTCCACCTGATTGAAACCAAGCTCCCTGTGGCAGACCCAAAAACTCCGGGGTATGCGTGGTTGCAGTTCTTACAGAAAAATCAGAAACCACATTGGACACTTCTCTTCTCCTTGATAGCTTTTCTGCCTTAATAAGTGATTTCAAAATTATAAGACGGCCACAATCATGATTCAAAAAATGAAAAACAACACCCTACCTGCTGTTGAGTAACAAGCACAGAAAATCCATTGATCAAGTAATGATAGCTATAGAGTTTCAGATACTTCTCCCCTTTAAACACCTTCTTCAACAACGAATCATGAACTTGTGCGATGTTAGACTTAGAACCATGTCTCTTATATGTCTTTGTAAAATTTTGATGTCTGAAAAAAAACATTAATGTTAAAAAAAACTAACTAGTCCATGCAACATAAACATTTTCAATACCTTAAAAACAAAGAAAGTGAAAGGGATGGTGTACCTTGGGTTGTGAAGCGCGGTTCTCCTAAAAGTACCATGTCTGAAGTGATTATAATCTGTTTTCAACTCATTCTGATAATGAGAAGTAGGGGCTTGTCTGAGAGTAACAATGTAGACATCAGTAGTTGCATCATTTTGACAAGAAGAATGCATTAGAAGCATCGCCAAGAAACACAGCATCGCCCCATATGTGTTATTTTTCATTAGAGCTTTGAAATTCAAAGCCCCGCCAAACATGATCAGAAAACTATAACAACAACGAATCTTCAGCAGCATGCATAGTCAACTCATCCTCAAGTGTAAAGTGAAGCCAAAGCAGCATTGATGAACAAAAATAGAAAGATATGTTAGTATTAATAGCTCAAGTATGTCCCAAAATATAGTTTAGGTGCATATATAGAAAAGTGGAAATGGAATATTCTTATGGAAATAGAAAAGTAATTGGTGGGGCACAATACATATTGGCTTGAACCGCATTTTAATTTTCAAATATTTAAGGCATCAACTTTTGCCAGTGACTCTTAAAAGAAAGTGGGTACATTGTGTTTTAATGACAATAGTGCATGCAAGTGCATGCGCACTAGCTTGTAGTATTAGTTCTTTTTTTATTAAGGAAATGATAGCTTGTAGAACAAGAATATCTAAACTCAGTAAACACTTTCACTTTCACCTTGTTCTCTCTGCAATTTAATGATGGTATCACTATCATCCCTATAATTGCCATTAGATGAATTTGTATCCTTATTTAATAATTGAGTTCCTTACATTTTTCTCTTACTACTCTATCTTTAATGCATACTAGCCACAACTTCACCCTCACTCACTAAAACTCTATATTTAAGTCACTGCCTTTGCCATTCACATATATTTCAACATCTAATTTATTTATGGATGTATATTAAGACGTTTTAATAACATCATTGACATCTCTAAATGATTTAAAGTCCGTTGTCTTATCTGTAAAAATAATTTTTAAAATAATTTTTATATTTTTAAAAAATTGAAGTTTTTAAATTTATTTTTTATAAATTAAAAGATTAATTTTTAAATCAAATAACATTTGTATACATTATTAAAGATAAAAACATGATTAAAATTATAAATATTTTAAAAATGATGTATTTTAAAAATGATTTTCATAAAACTAATATTTAAAATAGTTTCAAATTTATGTGATTTTTTGAAATTTTGATATATAAAAAAATTATAGAAAAAAAATGAAAGGCATAAAATATATATTTTTTAAAATTATTTAAATTTTTTTTTTAAATTATTGATAAATATTTTTAAATAAAAATATCTAACACTATAAAAACTATTTGGTTTAACTACAGTTTTGATCACTCTATTTTAAATTTAAATAGTTTTAAT